TCGTTTCGTATGAAAAAACCAATTTTAAAAATTTATTGGAGGAATTGCATGTTTCTGATAAAGATAAAGAGGTTTTAGCTTTGTTCTGTGAGTGCTTCCCCATAATATTCGCGTAGTTTATATGACAATGTATAAATGAATAATATAATTGTGTCAACTGGTGTTTATTTAATATACTTCTTGCTTTATAAAGAATTCCGATGCATTTAGCAATTTTATTGGAGGTATTATTAATATGATTTCTCCAAGATAGAATTTCATCAATAAATACTCCGAGCAAATTAGTAACTTTTTATCTTTTTATTATTATATTATCAATTAAAAGGTCTTGCATGATATGGGGCAGTTTCTGTTTTTTTGAAGGTGTATAAAAAAGTGTCCATATAGTTTTTTCTATATTTAGAGAAAATCTATTCTGTTTAAACCTTACGGAAACTTTTTTAAATTCATTTGTAATAAGTAAAAATCATATTTATATCTTTATGAGACAAAAACAAATTTGTGTTATCTGCAAAATTTATTGTTAAGTTTGATGATTTATGAAGATCATTTATGTATATTAAAAAAAAATAAGTGGACCAAGTATGGATCCTTGTGGAACACCACATATTATATTCATTAATAGATGAGATATAGAATCTTTATTGTAAACAAATTGTTTACAATTAGTAAGGTAACTTTCAAACCATAATAGAGTTTTATCTTTAATACCGTATGATGTTAGTTTTTTTAACAGGATTTGATGATTGACGGTATCAAATGCCTTAGACAAATCAAAAAATACTCCTAGTGTAAAACAAGAGTCTTTAAAAGAGTCAGTTATATTGCGCGTAAGTTGAAGAATGGCATTCCGAATGGCTCGGTTGAATTTTTTTTTTTTTAAACCAAATTGGTTTTCGTATAGAATTTTATTTTCAACAAGATAAGAGTAGATTCGGTCAACCGAATCTACTCTTATCTTGTTGAAAATTTTGTTCTTATCTTGTTGAAAAAATAAATTTTATTGAGTTAACTTTTAATGAATTTGAACAATGTACATCTGTACATTTTTCTTTCTAAAATTTTTGAAAAAACTGGAAGAACTGAAATAGAGCGATAATTTGTTATATTTGTACGATCCTCTGTCTTAAAGATTCGAGTTACTTTTGTTATTTTTAGTTTATCTGGAAAAGAACCTTGTGCAATGGATGCTCTGAAGATTTTATAAAGAATATATTTTATAACATCGTAGAAATCAATCACAATATTTATGTTGATATCATATTACCCAGTAGCTTTATTTCGTTTTAATGACTTAGAAGCAACCTCGAATTCATTAAAAGTTAACTAAATAAAATTTAGATTAGAGCTTATTGATGTTTCGAACTCATCAACAGATTTGTCTTTAACGAATGAAATACTATCGTTTAATTTTGTCCCGATAGTGGTGAAAAGCTTGTTAAATTCAAATGCAATATCATTTGTGTCATTTATTAATTTGTTGTCAAATTGTACAAAATTTAATAGTAAATTTTTATTTGGTTTAAGTTTTCCAGACACCTCCTTCATGATTTGCCAGAAGCTTTTTAAGTTGTGCTTATATTTATTAAGCAAGTTTGAATAGTAGTTTTTTTTTGCATTTTTGCGAAGCTTTTCAAATAAGTTTTTATAAGTTTTATAATTTTGTTTATGTTTTTCTGATTTCGATTTTAGGTATTTAATGTATAGCTTCTGCTTAATTTTTGACGATTTTCTGAGACCTTTTGTAATCCAGGGAGATGACATTTCTTTATCGCTTAAAACTATTTCAATTAAAGGAAAATTGGAATCGTACACTTGGTAAAAAGTTTTGAAAAAATTGTCGTAGATTATGTTGATATTATCATTAAAGTTAATATAACCCCAAACTATAAATGATAATTGTTCTCTGAAAGAATTTAAATTATTATTTTTGATACGCCGTTTTTTTATAAAAACCTTTCCATGCTTTTCTTTGGAAATATATTTAATATATTTCCAAAATAATTTTAATGGAAATATATTTAATATATTTCCAAAATAAATATATATTGTGAAAACATTTATGTTTATCCATTATTAAATAGCATAAAAAATAACAAAACATTTTTGAAAACATTATTGAAGAAAGTATTAAAAATTTTATTTCTGAGTACACGCAGCAACTACCCTCACATTTTTTTAAAAATTTGATTTTTTTTTTAATAATTTTAGACCAAAATTTTATGCAGATTTTGAATCTGCAAAAAAAATCAAACATTTTTTTATAAATTTTTGTTTAATTTATGTTTTTTTGAACTCAAGTAAAAAATATTTGCATAGCAACGCGTTGCTATGGGGGCGAATATTTTGTTTGTGAACTTATCCTGGAGTACTGTTTCAAATATATGCTTTGATTTATATCTTCTTTGCTAATTAATATTCTGTTCCTTATTATATGCCATTTACAATTGCTACTTAAATACGATTTTATCAAGTTATCAAAGCTAATTTATATAACAGCAGAAATTAAAAAATATGACAAAACCTACTGATTTGGGTGTTATTTTGAACAAAAATATTAATGATAGAGTAAAGCAGAGAACAAATTACTATAAAAAAAGAAGAGGGTTTATGGTGAAGAAAAATAAAAATGCATGTAATGTAAGTGAATGTGACTCTATTGAAAGAAATATTTTGGGCGCATCAGCTAAAAAAGTAAAAGTTGTTACAAATGTACCAAGTAAAAACATTAAAAGAATTACTGGTTACAGAATTATAGACACTGAAATTTTATCTAAAGTTCTTTCATTGTTAATGTGTCCTCAATGTGAAAAGTGTGCACTGTACTTAGGTGATCATCAGAAAAAAAAGAAAGGTCTAGCAACGTTGCTATATTTAAAGTGTACTACACTATCTTGTGACTATAAACATGAATTTTATACATCAGTTGCTTGTGATAAAGGGTTTGATATTAACAACAGGACAATATATGCAATGAGAGTCTTAGGCCATGGTCATTCTGGCATTGAAAAGTTTACTCAGCTCATGAATATGCCAAAACCCATGACACCCAAAAACTATTCAAAAATTACAACTAAAATAAAAAACATCGTGAAAAGTGTTGCAAACGAAACAATGTCAGATGCTGCAACTGAAATGAAAGAAAATGCAACTAGTGAGGACATTGTTGATGTTGGTGTATCATGCGATGGATCATGGCAGAAAAGAGGATATCAGTCAATGAATGGAGTTTTTACCGCAATTTTAATAGATAGTGGAAAAATAATTGATGTTGAACCTATGAATAAATCATGTAAAGCTTGCTGTATGAAAGAACAATTAAAAAAATCAAATCCTGATGCATATGCTAATTGGAAAAACAAACATATTTGCCTGTACAATTATCAAGGTACAGCTGGTGGTATGGAATCAGTTGGCGCAGTGAGAGTTTTTAAACGCTCCATCGAAAAACATAAGTTAAGATATACTCAATTTCTTGGCGATGGGGATAGTAAATCCCATCTTTCTATCAAAGATATATACCCAAATATGGAGGTAAAAAAGTTGGAGTGTGTAGGACATTACCAAAAACGAGTTGGTACTCGCTTACGCAAGTTAAAAAAAAATGTTAAGGGTCTAGGTGGTCGTGGTCGACTAACCAATGCAGTTATTGATCGCTTGCAAAATTTTTTTGGTGTAGCTATCCGGAGCAATACAAATGATCTGAATAAAATGAAACAAGCAGTATTAGCTAGCCTTTTCCATGTAGCTTCTTCTAAGGAAAATAACTATCATATTTACTGCCCGACTGGAGGTGATAGTTGGTGTAAGTTTAACATTGATAAAGCAAAGTCTACTTCCATATACAACCTGGACCAGGAATTCCTGTGGATATTATTCACAAAATCAAGCCAATATATGCTGATTTAAGTAAAAATTCTGAATTAGTAAAGTGTCTTCATGGCAAAACCCAGAATTGCAACGAGAGTTTTAATAATTTAATATGGGATAGATTACCAAAAAGTAATTATGTTGGTTTAGCCAGTTTAGAGTTTGGAGTGTACGATGCTGTTGCAAATTATAACATCGGTATGAAGTCTGTCATTTTAATTTATGAAAAACTAAATATGAAACCAGGGCATTTTACTTTAGCTGGTTGCAGACTCATAAACAAAAAACGAATAAAACTATCATTATTTAAATCGAGTGAAAGTTTTAAGATGAAACGAAAGATGTTACGACGTCAACGATTATCAAATGATCATCAAAAGTCAATAGAAAAGTCCAAGGAATATTATGAATCTGGTAGTTTTTGAAATATTCTTTTAAAAAGCTATTTTTTTAAAGATATTTTTATGAAATGAACAATAATTTATGATTTTATTTTTTGTTTTGTGTTTTCTGAGAATTTAATTTTTAAACACGCCGGGAAAAAAATCTTGAAAAGTATACATGCTATCATGATGAAATTTTCAGGGATCGTTCATTTTACCAAGGTTTATGATATGAGCGGAGTAGAATTTCTCATATGACTTAAGATTTTGAGTTTTTTAGTTTTTTTCTTTGTATTTTGACCTTTTTTTTAATAATCTAATTTGACTGTAGCTTTTTATCAAAAAAAAAATTTTATTTAAAAATCTGCTTCGCTCATATCACAAATTTACATATTTAGAACAGTTCTACAAAATTTCATTGACACTCCTTTACTCATAATTCTTATTTTTTTTACGGCGTAAACACAGTTTTTGTGGGTTTTTTAGCTATTTTTTTGAGTTGCCATAGCAACGAGCTACCATTTTATGTATTTTTTGGTATTTTTAATGTCAGTATAATATTTACTATATGACTAAAGAAAAACTTACTTTATATGTGTTGTTTTGAAATTTGAGGGTAGTTGCCCCTTAAACAAAAAAACACATGAATAAAATCGTAATATTTTTCAAAAGTTACGCAATTTTTTTCAAAACTCAAAACTTAATCAAAAATCGAAATAAATTTTTATTTATTATTTTATTTAATAGATTGGATTACTAATGATTTACTTGAAAAAATTTCTGCTCATCCAACTCTTTCCAAACAGTTTTTTGATCGCAGATTTGGTCAGATCATCTCTCAATTTCAAAAGAATCCCAATGATTTAATGGCCATTTACAAAAATGACGCTGAAGTACTCCAATTTATTCGAGAGTTTTCTATTCTTATGAGTAACCATTTTATCAATTTAGCAAAGAAAGAAGACAGACAAAAAAAAATAGAAAATAAAAAAAAGGTGCTAACCTTTATTAAGCTTAATTTTAACTTCCTCGTTAACCTGCTAACTTTTATGTATAAAAAAATGCAACTGTCATTAACATTACCCATGTAATTTACTGTCTGGTTTACTTTTGTTAACATGTGATAATAAAATTTATAGATTGTTATTGAGGAATCCACCAATCTTGAGGAATCAATCCACCAAAGATTTGATGATGAAGAAGTAAATAGAATAATATCAAATCCTGAAATGGTTTCAATATTGCAATGCAAAGAAATTCGACATTTTTTTTTTCATCTTAAATCAAACCCAAGTAAAGCTCAAAAGTATAATTTTTTTTTTTTTTTCAATGATTTTTATTATTTATTTTTTTTATTTTTACTATTTTTTATAATTTATTTTTCAGACTCATTTCACTTTCTTATTTTTAAATTTAATAATTTCTTCTTTCAAACTTGTCTGTGTATAGAGTAGTGACGGATCCAGAATTTCCCGTGGGATTGATCCAATAAAAATTTAGAACTTATTTCAGATTCATTAGTAAAAAATTTTAAGGTAATGAGATTCCTCCTCCTTGGTTTAAAAGCGTTGAAAAATCCAAAACAACTAGTTTGCACTACTTTTAGAAATAAAAGTTATTGCTGTTATTAAATCGATTTTCAAACTTTCGCTCCAAATACGGTAAATAATTCATTCTGTGCAATTCTCCATTATTAAATACAATAATGGAGCGTTTAATATCGTTTAACGTTTTTTACAGTCGGATCACTTTGAGATTTTCAAACGTAGACAATAAAAGGCTCTATCAGCTGTCATAGCTAGAACTCATGCCATACCTTCTTCCACACCAGCAAAAAAGCAGTTAGCCAAAAAAAGAACAGATACTTCACTTAATCTTAAAATTTACACCGTTTCAGTTCGATATTGTAAACAGTGGTATAAGATTACTTTAGGTGCAATATTTTTTCATTCGTACACCAACACGTGAAAGCAAAGTACTAACATGATAAGTATGAGGTTGGCTGAACAGCATATTCAATGCTGTTGCTTTATTAGAATGCGTTTGGTCTAGCGATGCAAGTTTTTTCAAGTAAAATACATCCGAACAAAAATAGTTTGTTTTTTTTATATATATATATATATATATATATATATATATATATATATATATATATATATATATATATATATTTGTATATTTGTATATTTGTGTATATATATATATTTGTATAAAAGTTTTTTTTTTTTTTTTTTGTTAATCTTTGTCATAATCTCTAGATTGTTGAAATTTTATTTTGTGAAAAATCAACGAGCTAACCAGGTACTGAATAGAATCCTCTTTGAAATTCTCGGATGTTTTTGAAAAATATGATGGTCGGTTGTTGTCGGATGCTACAATTTGGTTATAACGAACCAAGATGATTGCAAATACGCAAGACGTCGAGTTGACGATGCTTTATTCTGTACTGGTGCTGAGCGCTGCCTATGCAGTTTATGACAGAAGCTTATATTTAACAGAAGAAGAGAAAAAAGATGCGGAGAAAATTGAAGCTGTGCTGTTTTAGGCTTTCTCTCTGGACCCCTATGCAGCGTACGAGTTATTCATAAAGCGAAGACTAAACGATGGAGAACGAGTGGAGTCTTTCTGGCGGGCTTGCTAGAAAAACTCCATTCGTTCTCATTCTCTCAGATAAAGCGGTGAGGCTGGCGTTCGAACTTGCTGCCACTACCTGCCAAATCCGTGGTGTACGACAATTGTTAGAGGTTAAAATACATTGCAAGAAATTGTGCAGCACCGAAGAAGACTATGCGATGTTTCAAATGTAATGAATAAGGGCATGTGATAGTAAACTGCGAGCATGCCCTGCGTGGCAGCGAAGGAAAAAAGTTGGTTGACGCTAGTTCCTTGGCATTTCGAGCTTTTGTCCAAATTGGTGGAGATACCGTTGAACACGCAACATGGTTGCACAAGGAACGATCTGCAGTTCACATAAATATGTAGAATTGGAAGTCTTTTTCCGTAGTATCAATACGGCATTATCATAGAAGCTCAACAGGCTGCAATTATTCACAGATTCTGTGGCAGTTTTTCATTGGATTTCTGATGCCTTGACAGGAAAATCACTACTCAAGTCGAAAGTATCAAGCGAAATGCTAAAATGACGCAGAGATAAAGTATTCCGGGAATTAGTTAACGATTACAGCTTGGAAGTTGATGTAAAGCTGATATCATCCAAAGATAACTAAGCTGATTTGTTAACTAGAGTACCAGGTTGGTGGATGAGAATGTTGAAACTTGACAGTTCCATAAGTTGTGCTAGAATCGTTGTAACAAATCAAAAATCAATGCTGGAAATACACTAACAGACTAGACACTTTGGAGCCAGACGAACATTACACTTTGTAAAGAAAAAGTATCCTACTGCAGCAGAAGATGTACGCAATAACAGGAAAGCACTGAGGTAATCCGATACCTTCGATCCAAATTTTGCAAAAGAGGAGCACTTTAAAAAATTCTGATATATAATGGTTCCGCATTCAGAAGTGAAGAGATCGTAAAATTCTTAGAAAAATGGGATGTACGTTTAATGCATCGAGCAGGCATCGAGCAGCGTATTGTCCATTGGGAAATGACATCGTTGAGAAAAAAAAACCTGCAATGTTTAATCGAACAGCAGAACGATCGAGAATTTCTATAGCGGAGGCCGTATATTGGTTTAACGTCTCGACTAACAAAACAGGAGTGAGCCTAATGGACGAACGGCTTAACTATGAGAGATGGCTCAAAGTCAGTGAGTAGCAAGAAACTTCTCGCGTTGATGAACGTGTGGCTGAAACTCCCCGAAGGGCGATGTGTAACTAAGTGGCGTTCAGGTACCATCACTCGAGATTTATCGGATCAGGTGATCGAGGTGGACGTTATGCCTCGCCATGTTAAGCACATCAGGCCAAGAAGCGAATCTCAGAACGACCGAATGAATTAGCGGATGTAGAGATAGCGATTGGGGATAATGATATAAGAAGTGGCGAAGACGAGTCTGAAAACGTTGGACTGAATGAATGAAATAGAATGCGGAAAATGAAGCATTTAACGAGAATGAAGATCAATTGGCTGTTAACTGTGAGACATAACAGGGTTGCCACTCAACCTGAAAAACCTGGAATATCTGGAAATAGCATGAATCCCAGGGAAAACCCGGAAAACTCAGAGTTTTATTAAAAATTTTATAAAATTCAGCGAAAACTTAGGAAAAATAATTTTTTATTTGAAATTTTGTGCAATAATTTTTTTTTTCAAAAATATTTTGTTAGTACATATAATAATAAGTTTGCAAGATGTGGGTGTTTTTGTAGAAGTTTTAGTTTGTCAAATATAAAAATTGTTTTTAATTAAAGAAAATAATAATTTAGTTGATGAACAGGTAAGAATATAGAAAAGTCAGGGAAAACTTAGGGAACTTAAAGAGTTCAACTCGGGGGAAAATGTTCTATACTCAGGGAATACTCAGAGAAAACTCAGGAAAAAACTTTAAAAATTATAGTGGCAACCCTGCATAAAATGCCGTAGCTCCCCTACGCTAAAGCAATTGAGAACGACGAGTGCCTATCAAATTTTCGATAATTGTTGCTCTTAAATTTGATCCATGAAGATCAAGGAGGAGTGTACCTACGTTGTCGAATGTTCAAAATCATTCTGTAAATCCACCAGGCAATGCAAACGTACGTAATAGTTCGTTGTGAAAAACGAAATAACATTCAGTAAGATAAATATATGATATAAATATGGGTGAAAAGACTAAAGGTAGAAAGAAAAAAACAAGAATAATGGTAGTTCTTTATTAGACTTTATTAGAGTTTATATACATGTTTTTTGAGTTAGAGTTTATCACGTTGGATTTTGTATATATTTCTTTCTGAAGCTTTTTACATTGAAGTTTGTTAAAGTTCATTTATATATATTTGTATTCTTTGTCATAATCTCCACATTGTTGTAATTCTTATGAAGAATCAACAAGCTAACTAATTGAGTTTTTTTTTTTTTTTCTTTATTATTGAAGAATCTTTGTCATAATTTCCACATTGGTATGACTTTATTTCGAGAAGTATGAACATTTCACAAATGTAAAAGGTTGGAAAGTCTGTTGCTATTTTAAAAAAGTTTGTCTTCTCTTTTTAAATTATAATCTTCTACGCATTGATAATTGAGGTTTATGATCAGGATGGAGCAGCGGTAAGAAACTGAATCTAACGGTTTTAAAATCTTTTTGTTGTTTAACATCTCACTTGGAACCCATGAAAACCATGGGACCTTACTAAATGTTTATCAAATAATTCTGATGCTTCTATTAATATTGGCATTATATTACTACTATTTGTTTAAAATTTTATAATTTGCTTTTCAAATACTCAATACATTCAAGATTATTTTCGTATAAAAGTAAACTTTAATACAAAATAATTTTTTTTAAATACATTTTAAAACTAAAGAACTTGAAAAACATGGCTTCTATGCTTTTAGCTTTTTTGGCTCTTTATTTTTGACAATACAAATCATATTAAGTTTTCAAAAAAACTCAATAACATAGTGCTTAATGTCTTTGTAAATATTGTAAAAGGCTTGAAAAAGGCATTTTTATAATTTATATTTTTAGTATAAATAAAAATAAATTTTGAAACTGATTGAGTATAAATATTTCATCGTAAATATTTATTATCCTATTTAAATCGTTACAAAGAATTTTTTTTTTATAGTTGTTTACTATTTTTTTTTGTGTGTGTAATTCATTATTTTTTGATAATACTATTAAATCTATTTTTTTAGATTACTAAATTCTGCAAATTCTGACATGCGGTACAAGATTCAAAAGTTAGTCGACGCGGGTTTGCTTCAAATGTCTTAGTATATTTGTTTATGTGTGTTTATAAATATATATATATATATATATATATATATATATATATATATATATATATATATATATATATATATATATATATATATATATATATATATATGTCTTTAAACCCCTTAAAAAATACTGAAATTTAGAAATATACGTCATCACTTAAAATATTACAATCAACATTAAATGTTTAAACAATATATTACGTATAAATATATTTAAATAAAATAATAACATTTTTGTTTTTTTGTGAGTTTGTAGAATTTCAAAATTATTTGTCGGTCCTGTACCCAGTGGGTACAGGACCTAAAAAAAAAAAGTCTGTTAAACGTTCAAAAGAGGTCCAAAACGTTTAAAAGACATCTTTTTTATGTCTCTTTCCCACTGGGTATTGGCAATAAAATATCGTGATTTGTTGTATAAATATTATTTGTTATATATATATATATATATATATATATATATATATATATATATATATATATATTATATATATATATATATATATATATGTATATATATATATATATATATATATATATATATATATATATATATATATATATATATATATATATATATATATATATATATATATATATATATATATATATATATGTATATATATATATATATATATATATATATATATATATATATATATATATATATATATATATATATATATATATATATATATTTGTTATTTTTCATAAATAGTAAAATTTACGGCGGTTTGTGTTTTTAGAGAAACTAAAAAAAACAAATTGTGAAAAAATAATTGCGAAGATAATTATTACTTTAATAAAAAATCATTTTTTATTTTTTTACTATTATAAAATAAAGTTGAAATAAAAATTTATTTGACATTAAATTTGACATTAAAGCTGCAATTTATTAAATATTTTAATACAATTTATTTTAAAGATATTTTAAATAATTTATTAAAAAATAATAAATAATACTTAAATAAAAACGTAACGAAAAAAGTAACGAAACTACTGGATACTACGCAAGCTTTGGGGACTTCTATAAAGTACATAGAACAAGATAATACTGAGGGGACGATATGTTGTCAAAAAAAAGATTTTTTTGTTAATTTTACCGTTCTGTATTATTTACAATGTAAAAGTAAATAAAATCATAGACAGAAGACATCAATCTGCTTTCTCACCAAGCTCCATTTACATTGACTTCAAATTTTACTTATTAAATATATAAAATATATATTTATTAAATAAAAAATAAAACTTCAAACTTAGTTTAAAAAAAAAATAATACGCTGCAAAATAATTGCTTATATATAATAAGATCAAAATATAGGAATGCCGGGTAATAATACCATTGATTCATTTTTAAACTGCTCTATATAAATTTTAAACCATGTTATTAATTTTACATAATTGTTAGTTAGCAATTTTTTTATTTTAAAAAATATTTAAATATTTTTAGAGAATAAAAAAGATTTGAGTCATTTTCAAACAAAATAAAATTTAATGTTTTCTTGTAAATTCATATACACTAGGGACAGCAAGCGCTGTTCCTAGTGTACATGAATTTACAAGAAAACATTAAGATGCAACCGTGCAGAACTAGTTAAGGTGTAAGGTTGTGTTTGTTTTATTCATAGTATATGAAACTGCTTTTTATAAGTCAGGTAACATTTAAACCAAAGTGGTTTATTTGTTTTTACTTCATAGTATTCAAATTTATTTTAATAATGTATTATGATCTATGGTGTCGAAAGTATTTTACATCTAAATGAATACTCCTATCTGATTGACAGATTCATGAATAAAGATAGTGTATTAGCTCTTAGTGTATGTTATAAGTCACAGCAAATATTATCAAAGTTGGAGTGATTCATGCAGTTTTTATTTTTTCAAGAAGAATACCTGTTTTAAAAAAAAAAAAATGTAAAGATATAAGATTGCTAATTTATATAATTCTGCATTTTTGTTTCTTCCAAGCAGTTTGCAACTCAATAATTACAATATAATTATTTTTTATAAAAAATTTCAGTTTATAGATCCAAACTAATATTTTTTTACAAAACACGAATAAAACTATCTGACTTGCGGTCTAAAACAACATTTATAACAGCTGTTTTATCATAGTTTCAATATGATTTAATATGCTGTTATAAGTTTTTTTTTATAAGATCTCTGACATAAACTTCAATTTATTTTCTAAACAATTTAACAAAAAATAGAATAAAGTAAACAGACACAAAATTTTTGTGTCTGTTTACTTTATTACAAAGACTTGAGAACTACAAACAAGCGATGCATGTTTTTAAACAGATAAACTACACAAGGGCCAAAACTCGGGTTTGGCTTTACCTTCTTCTTACAATTTAGGTATGAAATTTTATAATAACGAAAGTAATGGGCTCCTGATGTTTTTTATTATTTAATTGTGTTTCAGCAAGTGATTATATTAAATACAATCATCTGATGTTTTAATTTAAATTAGTTGTCTACGGAAGATCATTGGGTACAAATTTCATTCACCCAAGTTCTGAAAAAGAGGAGAGCAGAAAAAATAAACATTTCTATCGAAAGAGAGGAATTATTTTATTCACTTATTTTGAAAACTAAAAGTAAAAAAAAAGTTCAGCAATGCTTAGGTACATAATTATCATTACTATAGTCATTTTTAGATTATTTTATTTATTAAAAAAAAATCTCCAAAATACTACGGGTGATAAATTTCCCTCCTAGATTGTATTCATCTCACTCTTCACATTTACATTTTTACACTTAAGGTTGTGAAACAAATATTAAAATCAGAGAAAGATGGTGCAGATAATTCAATCTATTTATCTATTCGTTTCTTTCAAGATGGTGCAGCTTCTTCTCAAGATCTCTTTCGCTTCTTTTCAAGATGGTGCAGTTAATTCAATCTTTTAATCTATTCGTTTCTATCAATATTTTCATTTTATCTTTATAACTTTTTAATTTCATCACGATTGATCTTGTACGTTTATCTTTTTTAATTCCAGTACGATGTGCACGTTCAATGTCGATTCCCAACAAACCTAGATTTTTTTCAAGAAATATTTTTCTTCCGTTTGTGTCCAAGTTTCATTATCGTTTTCCGGTAACCCATCAATTCTTAAGTTATCTCTTCTTGTTCTAACGTCAATGTTTCTTTGCTGATTCTTTAGGAGTTGTAAACAAGTTAATTCCTTTTCAAAGCTGTTGTGACAAGCCTCGACTTTTTGATCAATAAGGTTTTCTTGAAAATTTAATCCTAATTTAACATCTGCTACATCTTTCTCGAGTATTTTAATTAGGGATGTACCGAAGCTAAAATTTTGCCGAAGCCGAAGCTTCGGCCGAAGCCACTTTGCCGAAGCCGAAGCTTCGCCTCTATATATGCTTAAAATTTAATCAGCATTCAGATCAGCAGGGGTGTAAAACAAAAAAGGTACCAAAACTAAGGTCCTTGACTAATAATATAGAAAAATCGTATAAAAATGAGGACGCCAGTCAGGGTTGCTGTTCCAGGCAGGGCAAAAGCTCTCAGCGCCCCTGTTTAAAAGTTTCTCATTATGTCGTTTCTGATACTTGACCGCACCGAGCGTTTTTTTTTTAATTTTAAACTTTTTTGAAACATTCTCCCCAAATTTTCCTACTTCTAGTTCTACTTTTTCTGTGTGCAAACCATATTAATGTTATATAGCATCATTTCATGTGCTGTATATTTTATTTTTATTTTTAATGCACCTTTTGTTAATAGAAGTGGATAAAAATCTCTGAACATTACTAGAGTAAATTTATCTTTTGCACTTGATCACTCTTTCTTTAAATAAACACTCTTAGCTGATCTAGTTATATCTACAACATAAAAAATCTTAGAAACACACTTTATCTTTTTATTGCTATTTATTTCAATATCTTTTTTTTTACTTCTCTGTATTCTTTAAACGAACAATTTCTAAACTAAAAAAAACCCAAGTTAAGACCATTTTGGATTCCACTACAACTGTTGTGAACCTGCTGCTAAAAAAAAGTACAAATGATAGATTTCTCTCTAACTTCTTTTTTACACACTTTTAAGTGTTTTTTTTTTTATTATTTTTAACTTTACACTGCATAATATTTTCTATAGCTTCTTTTAATCTTTTACACTTTGAAATCTTAGTATTCATTCTTCTTCTGTCTTTGTAATGGATAAATCTGCATCAGTATCTGAAATCAAATATTAACTATCTGTGATAAAAGCTTCCATAGTAATCTAACAACTCTGTAGAGTGAGTTTTAAATAAAATAATAAATAGAATACTTTATAAATTTTTTATTTATAATTATATTATTATTTACTTTATATTTATAAATAAACAGGGACTGAGCAGGCTGATATTTATTTGATTTAAATTGTTTATTTAATTTAAATAAATTTTGATGATAAATATAAGAGCTTAAAGTAATCAAAGCTTCAACCTTTAATTTATTTTAAATAAAATTTAAAAGTCTTCATAATATCATAAGAAGAAACCAGAATAGTGATTTACATGTTTAATATATAAATTCAATTTAGAAGTATTTATAATATTAATAAAAATGCAAGGATAGTTATTATCATTGATTTTTCTTTTTCTTTTAATTTATCTAGTTTTTGTTGGCTTTTTTTTTCTTTTTTCATTCTCCTCGCTCATATTTCATTTGCTTTTTTTCCTTTTTTTGTTGTTGAGAACTTTATGTTTTTTATGTGTCACTCCATTGACTATTTTTATATCTATATAAGTGACACCTAACCAAATTCTGTAAATTTACGATGAAATTTTGCAAATTTTTATTAATATGGTTAAATAAAATTTAAAAAAATTAAACATACACACAATTTAAAATAGTAGCAACGTATCTTTAATCTTCTTTAAAGAGAGATTACTAAGGTTTATCGGTCAAATGTTGAAACCAAATTTTGTTCTATTTGCGGTAATCCCACACAATAATTTATATGAATTCGTTACATAATACAAATTAAGGTTTTAAAAACTTTTAATTTGTTTTAAGTTATAAGGTTTTTATTCTGCATAGAAATGCTGCTTCAGTTCATCTAAAGTCACA